GTGAATAGTTGTGTTTTAGAGTGTATGTTTGTGCTCCTCAGAGTTTCAGCCGGGCGTCCCGTGGAAAGGCCTCCCGAGCCATGAATCTGACCCTGACCCCTACATGACCCCTGCGGGAATGCTGGGATCCTCCCTGCTCAGCGACACTGAACATCACCTGCTGCAGGACAACACGGGTACACACTCACTGAACACCCTTCACTGACCACACACACCATAATACACCACTTTAGGAGGTTTATATCAGTCTGCAGGACGACACACACACACTGAGCGATCAGACATGAGCGTGAAGACCCTTCACTGACCACACACACCATAATACATCACGAGTTTATATTGTTCTGCTGGACAACACGGGTGCACCACACACACACACACACACACACACACACACACACCATAATACACCACTTTATATCTGTTTATATCAGTCTGCAGAAGAGATATAGTTTCTGGGCTTAATGCAGCTCATCCTATAGGGTGAGCAGTGTTCATTGTGTCTATTAAATATGAAATTAATTAAGAATTAATTAAATACTAAATGCAAAATGCCAATTAATGCAAGTTCAGGTCATGTATTTGACGTATTATTGAGTCTTGTAAAGCCTGATATATAGTTAGAAATATAATTGTTTTAAGTAGTCGTTTTGAACCGTAACTCTAATGTAGAATATAAAAATACAGTAGATGTAATATAAATGAGCAATATCACATGAGTAGCAGTGCGATATGGCTGTATATCGGCACTGGTGGGAGGCCATATACATGCCGATGCCATATATATACCGATATACAGCCATATGGCACTGCTACGAGTGTGATATTGCGTTTATACAACAATTTGACAGCATAATTGTGTATATAAAAATAAAATCAAACATGGAGAGTCTCAAAAACCCTTTTGTGTGAGGAACTACTTTCTTCCGCCTTGGATTCAAATCATAAGCTGACAGTTAAACAGTTGAGCGTGCATCTTTTAAACTTTAGATCTGTAGTGTCTGCTTTCTGCTGGCTGTATATGTGGGCGGAGTAATACACAAAGGGTAAAGAGGCTGTACGGGTGCTGATATTACTTAAATATGTCACGGCTATCAGCCAATCAGATTCGAGAACCAAACAGAATTGTTGTATAAATATATATATATATATATAATCATCAAGTAAAGCTGAGCTGCTGCAATTCAGTAAATATTGATTTTGAAATATTAAAAGCATTATCAAAGATTTTTTGTGGTTTACCTCAGAAATAAAACATCTGACTGATAATGAGGTTTGTTATGTTATGTAAGGGATAAAGTACAGCCAGGTGGTTGTTTTTGCAGAATAAAGCCTATCGGGTTAGTCAGCAGCAGTTGTGTAAGACTGAAGGCTATATTCTGGGAAAACAATCACCCGGATGAACTTTATCTGGTTTATTACATGGCTAATTGCCTCAGAACATTCAAATTATGCACAAAACATCATTCAGAGCTGTAATAGTTTATAACTGCTTCAATTAAATGAAAAGGAATACGGCTGAATGGAGTATACACTAACCTGGGTATTATTCAGCCACAAGGTAACGACAAACAATCAAAAACGATCAAGTGGTGCTCGCTGCAGAGCCATTTGGGCGAGCTGAGCTCCAGCGAGGGGGAGCTTGAGCTTGAGCTCCACCTTTTTTGCACTTCTGTTAAACAGGGTTAGGGGTGGGGTTGGTGTACGCATTAAAACAGCTGACAGGAGGCAGAGCAAGAGCTCATGTCAAGATCATTCTAATACCTAAATCAGTCTGTGTTATTAGTTTCAGTTGTTATTTGGAAATTACATATCTAGAAATGTCACAACTGACCAATAAGATTCAAGTATTCCAGACTGGGAGTGCAATATGAAATCTGACATTGCAATCTTTTGTTTGTCTGCAAAATGAATATCATTTCATTCCCTTAGCTCTATTTAAAAATATTTCATTACTTTAGATTGACTGGGCTGATCATGTCTTTTTCAATGCAGTGTGTTTGCATAAATGATAGTAAATTACACGCGTATAAATATGACAGAGCGAAAGTAAAAGTGAAATAAACAGTGCTTTATTGTTTTCAGTATTCAGATACAAACATTAAACAATCAAATATAAACGAACATCACTTTATAGATCATTTTATACAATAATGTAAAAGTTTTCCCAGTGATGGGTTGCAGCTGGAAGGGCATCCGCTGCGTAAAAACTTACTGGATAAGTTGGCGGTTCATTCCGCTGTGGCGACGCCAGATTAATAAAGGGACTAAGCCGACAAGAAAATAAATGAATAATGTAAAAGTAATATTTAATTTTTTAATGAATAATCTAATCCTGCGACGTGAGTATTGCGGATACACACATGGTGATGACGATTCCAGACCGTTTCTTAAATTTATGAGTCAAACAGCAGAAGGAAACTAGTAGATTAAGTATAAAGAGATTTTTCAGTGCAGTTCTGATCACTATGAGGCCTTAAGGCTGATTTATACTTCTGCGTCAAACACCGGCGTATGCTACAGCGCTGACGCATAGCCCTTCGCCGTGGCCATCGCCGTCCCTGACGTGCACCTCTCAAAAAATGTAACTACACGTCGCAACGATGCATAGCGTAAGCTCTGTGATTGGTCGGCTTGGTATCGCTGACGAGTCTGGGTGGGACCGAGAGCCGCGCGAATGACGCGAGCGATTGTTTACAAGTGTGGAGTCCCGTGAAGGAGCTCCGGATGGAAAGTTTTGTGGTTAAAGTTGTTGCACGTCCGCCGGTTCCTGCCTCAAAATGAGCGAGTTTGACCACTTGTACATCCCGGAAGTGTTCAGGAAAAGTTAAACAGCAGCGAAGAAACTCGACACAGAGGAACATTTACACCTCACTGCCAACTAGCGTTTCGGAAGTGTTAATGCAGACCGACAGAGACAGAGTGCAGAAGTATAAATGCACAGCTACGCGCGTTGCATGCGCCGTGGGTTACGCCGGTCACCTGACGCAGATGTATAAATCAGGCTTTAGAAATGTGTGTGTGACATGATGTGTGTGTGTGTGTGTGTGTGTGTGATTCAGGGTCAAACTCTGTGAACACCTGTATGCCTTCACCTGGTGCCTGGCCGTACAGTGCCTCAGATCCCCCCCTCACTGCACACGGCACAGGTGACTCCATTCACCATCACTATACACCTCTGTCCACTCTCAGAATCCCCTTAGAGTGCACTGCTCATTAGGGATGGGTGATATGGACTTAAATTACATTACAATATGTTCTGGGATTTATTGTGATGACAGTAATATTGATGATCATTTAAAACTGTCCAAACTCGGTCCAGGAGGGCTGGCGTCCTGCAGATTTTAGCTCCAACTTGCTGCAAGGATGTTTCTAGAATGGCTAGCATGAGCTTGATTACTAGCCTAGGTGTGTCTGATTGGGGTCGGAACTAAACTTTGCAGGACACCAGCCCTCCAGGACTGAGTGTGGACATGCCTGCACTAAGAGGTGCACGTGATGAGATATCGCCCATCCCCACTACTTGCATTTCCATGAACACATTATGCAAAACTGTTTGAATCACTATGACAGTCACTAGAAACATTTAAAGACATCTTTTTGGATGAGCTTATAATGAACAGTGTGGCGTATATATCGATGTATTATTGTACAATTATCATGTTAACGTTTCCAGCTAAATACACGGAGCTGAAGTCCAGTTGGCCGCCGGAGCCCATTGGACACAGCAAATCATGGCGGACCAATCGCAACGCTTCTCAGATGCCCCGCCCCCCTCCGGGCCTGAGCTCTCAGAAGCAGCCGTGGGTGGAGGAGGGGCCTCGCATGGCCAGGGCATGGGGAGGCGGAGCCAGCGGCACGGACACGCCCTTTAAATCAGGTACTGAAAACACACATTCACACACACCTGAAGAACAGATGAGTGTGTGTGTAGCTCTACACTACATATGAAATCTGTACCATCTATTGCGATATTTAAGAATATATTAAAGTCTATTTATGACTGTGCACATGTTTTAACTATTGATCATGGTTTATATTAAGCGTAGTTCACACTACGGGATTTTAAGCCTAATTTGAGCCCGATTTGGAAGTTAACGAGCTCGTCGACGAATCGGGCTGTGATCGGGAAGTAATCTGCGTGTGAACGGTGCTCGCCAGTCTTTATGTGTGAACTACTGAACAACGCATCAACGAGGCTCGCTGACGCATCGCCAACACCTCGCAGACGGAAATCCAACATTTAGCATGCTGAATATTCCAGAGCAGTCGGCCGACTCAACCCCACGTGTGGTCAGATGTAGTGACGAGCTGCACCCAATAAGAGAGCACATCAGCATGAGCTGAACGCCTGTGTGTTCAGGAGCTCAGCAGAAACTTCTGTGATTGGTCAGAATGGGCATCGGTGCACTCGCTTCATTCTGCATTAGCACAGACATGAGAGTAGGCTATATCAACAGTGGAACTAGAATTCTGTAACTATTAGAATTACCATACTGCTCATTCTGATCGTTCTCATATAAAACACCATACTGTCACAACATATTTACATTCAGAGCTATTATTGAGATATTAAAATTAAGCTTTGAATGTCTGGCATCATATTTAATGACACCATTACCCTAAAAAAATCTTTTTTTTGTAATACAGCCTATAAATATGTAGTTAAGATACTAAAACACTTAAAGGTCTTGGCTTTCATTTTCACTTTCAAACAGGAGCTATTTCACAGCACATAATATGCTGTTTTTAAAGATATCTGAAGTAAATTGATGTTTTTGCCATCAGAAAGTTTTGTTTATGTTAGCAGGAAGTTGCTAGGCAAGAAAATGCACACATATTTAAAGTCACAGTGAAAAGTATCAGACATGCATGCAGTCATTTTGATCAATATGGTAATTTAAGGCAGAAATGCTCAGTTCTTTACTGTTTTGTAATAAAAAAAAATAACAATGTCAGAAAGAAATACACTGATAGTTAGAAAATGGCAGGGTGTTATAAATATGTTAGTTTTATTTCAAAGAGTTATAAAATTACAAAAATTAAAAACTCTCTGTGTCTATCCACTGGAACCTTGCAGATGAGTGATTAATCCGCTGATGCATCAGCTGATTTGACGATGTTTTTAAATGCTTTCTCCAAAGCTTGAAACGCTGTCAGTGATGTCATCAGCACACAAGCAGCCTTTTTCTGACGACGACTCTCTTAAAATTTCATTGGCTGTGGTTTGGTAGCTTGAATAAGCTGTTGGGGAATGAGTTGTTGTCAGATCATGTAGTGTGTGACCCCTCTCTTGTGGATCATTCACAGAGTGTTGCGTAGTGTGAACACCACAGAGATTAAAAGACACAAAGTCAAGTCATGTAGTGTGAACGGCACAGCGATCTGCTGATGTTTAAAATCCTGTAGTGTGAACTAGGCTTTGTTTGTGTGTGTTTGTTTATGTGTTGTAATATGTATTTTCCTTGATCAGGACTTGATCAGGACATGCTAGAAGATATACTGCATCTCAATGGGACTTTCCTGGTTAAATAAGTAAATAATTCTGGTGTGTGTGTGTGTGTGTGTGTGTGTGTGTGTGCTGTTTTTCAGAGTGGAGTGATGGAGGAGCGTCAGCCGGGAAATCATGGCTGCTGCTCAGAAACCTCACACCACAGGTGTGTACAGGCTGAAGATGCACGTTTATTTGTTGTTGTGTGTGTTTTTTTAATGCTCTCTTCTGCTCTTCAAAGCTGCATTTAGTGGGTCAGATACAGTACCAAAAATACTGAGTTAATTATTACCTGAAAGATTTCAGTGTAATATATAGACCATTTCAGTGTGGTCATGTCATCGGCCCATAACATTTCCTGCTCAAACTGTTTCAGAAGTGTAATAAGAGGCATTTCAGTCATAACTCCATGTTAAACAGCTCTCAGAACATTATTTATCAACATGTGGCCTGTTTTGGATTCTCTGAAGCTATAGAAATCATAAATGTAAATCGGGAAATACGTTGGGACCATTGTTTTTGTTTACATTTCTCAAAATGGTCTATAGCAGGCATGTCCAGACTCGGTCCTGGAGGGCTGGTGTCCTGCAAAGTTTAGTTCCAACCCCAATCAGACACCTCTGGGCTAGCTAATCAAGCTCTTAAGCTGCGGTCACTTTAGAGTTTGTGTGCGAAATTCTGTCGTACGGCGCTGCGAAATGGGGCGGGATTAAACGATGATTTGACATTAAAAAAGTGAGCGATTGCTCCATGTTTTAAATTTCTGTCCAGAGAGGTCATGTTTTGATCCTCGATTGGTCTCACGCAGTCATGTGATGCGATTTCGCTGGCCGGAGTTCACCAAGCTTGAATTTTGCACCGCAGCAACCTGCGAAACTTGACGCATGCGAAATCTTATATTGTTGTTGTCACGCTAAAAGATGCAACCATTTTAAAAGATGTAAAACACACAGTGACTGCTAGCCTGTTTTGAGGAAAACACACAGCTGGGTTAGCTGTAACAGGGTCTTACAATTAAGCCACACGCTGATGGACACCAATTAAACTAACAATATAAATTTTGTTTTTGTGTGATTTTGGGAACATTTTTTTATATTAAAAAAAACAGTTTTTAATAGAAAATCTTTTTAACAGCAAACAGAAATTTTGCTGCTAATAATGAAATAAATGAATTGTATAATAATTGATAATAATGCAAATAAGTCCAAATGTTTTTATCCAAAAGCTAAATAAATAATACACATGCTGTGCTATATAGAATTTAAAAAAAAGCTGAGTTAAGTACTGAGGAAATATAGCTACTATTTAGAGTTAAATTAACTGTGTGAAATCTGCCTTTAAGCATGTGCTACAACTAACCTCCTGACTGTTACAACTTGCCCTGCAGGTGGGGTAAGTAGTAACATTTATACTTCTGGCACTTTTGGCAATACAACATTGAAAGTAGCCTTCTATTTACATTAATTAAACCATTACAGAATTAAAAGCCTTTTTAAAAGTTGTTTATTTACTGTCTCTTTGTCTTGTTTTCAAAAGAACTGTCGTGGAAGAGCTAGCAAACACATTTCAGATGAATTTAACAGGCAGTTGTACAAAACTGATGGTCTATAATTTATTTTATTGATTTTTTTTGTAGATTATCATAGTTACATGTCTTAAAAAAACTCCAATATCTGATGAAAAAAAAAATATATGTATTTTTCCAACCCGAAGTTGAATGTGAAACTTGACCCTTGCGTTTCCAGTCTGACGCATTCGTTTGTGTATGAATGGAAGTCTATGGGAGGAAAAGCTCAGTGTGACCGCAGCTTTACTAGGCCTTCTAGAAACATCCCTGCAGGTGTGTTGAGGCAAGTTGGAGCTAAAATCTGCAGGACACCGGTCCTCCAGGACCAAGCTTGGACACCCCTGATCTGTACTAAAAGCACTGCTGTTGAATAATTGTTTATTTATTTATTTTTGGCAATAGTCTTTTCTGCTCTCCAAATTTGCATTTATTAGATCTTAAATACAGTGCGCTATTAGTATTAGTAGAGCATCTTCGTTTATTATGTTGTTGTGTTTTGTCTGCAGATCGACGGCTCGACCCTGAGGACGATCTGTCTTCAGCATGGCCCTCTGTTGACCTTTCACCTCGGCCTGACCCAGGGCAGCGCTCTGATTCGCTACTGCAGCCCGCATGAGGCCGCAAAAGCCCAGAGCGCCCTGCACATGTGAGTCTCTCTAACACACACACACACACACACACGCACACATGCGTTTGTTTAATGACTTATAATTTTAGAATTAGGCTTTGAATGTCTGTCGGCATATTTTATGAAGTCATTACCCTAATAATCCAATGTTTATTGTGATAGAGTCTATAATTGTGTACCAGTCATTTGACAGTCTGATAATGCCAAGTTCATGCATAATTTTCAAAGTAGCATGACTGTCTGGGGTAGCGATACATTGCTGCTGTGTTTACACTGCAAGATGGATCGGCGACACGGGGTTATGACTTTACAATAGCAGAATCGCAGACAACTTTGACTTGTCCGCAGACTACATCTCACAACCAAACACATGCGAGAAGTGACATGGTAACAACGCAAGGTCACGAAGTATATCCTTTGTTAGTGCTGCTCGATTATGGGAAAAATCATGATCACGATTATTTTGGTCATAATTGTTATCACGATTATTCAAAACGATTATCAGATGTAGTCAAAATTGTTTGCTCTTCTGTCAATCACATGATCACTGATCAGATGTGTCATTATTAGTAACTTTAGGTGGTTTCTAAAACTAAATCTGCCAGTGTTTTCGATCTCTCGTATCCAGACATTTACGTTTTCGCGGCTGTAGCTTCCTGTCATCAGAACTGAGTGATTGACAGCTGATATTAACCAATCCATTGGCGTTCTGTTCTAGCGCAGTGGGCCAATAAGAAGAGCTTGAAGGCGGGGCATGCATTGTGGGCTTTGTTTACTGCAGCAAGTTAACATGACGACTGTTTTAAACCATTCCTGAGCGCTGCGTTTAGGTGCAAAGATACTTAATGTGTGAATGCCTCCTAAATCAGCGCATGTGGTGCACATTTTTCTGTGAAAACGGGTCGCACGACATCAGTCTTATACACTCAAATGCTCCCAAATATATTTTGAAGTCACATAGATAATTTCGGGCACATATGCGACAAAAACGTTTGCAATTTCGAGCCCTGCTCTACCAAAATCACACAAGCTTTTTTCAATGCGCATACTGGTATATGTTCAGTAAAAGTGTTTCCATCATAGTTTGTGTGCATCTTTTCTTAGTGAATAAAACTTAATTCTCCTCAGTTATGCACAAATATTTTTATGCACGTTTTTCAAAATGTATGGTCATCTTGGCGTTTCCATCACCAGTTTTATTTATATGCATCTCCAAAATGCACATAAAAATAGGTGGATGGAAACCTAGCTATTGTGGCACAAAAGTTCTAGATCAGTGCTCCTTTTAATCAGGGTAGGTTGATATGAGAACCAACCAAATCCATCATCAGATTTCCTCCTGGAACCGCCTCCTTGAAACAAAAGCACAAACACACAGAGAGAACACAAGAGGGCAGCGTAGAGCCACACACACCAACTAAAGCAGGGCTTCTCAACCTTATTCACTTCTATGTATACCACAGGTCAACAGGGAGATTGCAGAAGAGCAGCTTCTGCTTTAAACTGGACTGACTGAGTATCTACTATTAAAAACATACAGACAAATGTAAAATACAGTAAACACCCTAAATCTGTTGATATGCATCGGTGTGATGGCGGTTGAGTTTGCAGCTGGATATTATTGGGAGATCGCTGACAGGAACAGCTTCGCCAGAGAGCTGCAAGTTGCAAGTTAATTTTACATGCTATGGCAGAAACACCACTGAGTCTTACTAGATCCTCTTGTCCATTTTAAAACACTCACACGACATTAATTTTACAACTATGCGGATATTTTAAGGGTGCTTTCACACTTGGTTCATTTGCCTGGACTGTACCCAAGTTCGATTGTCTCCCCCTGCCATCTCCTCGGTTGGTTTGTGTTCATGTCTTTTTTTCCTTCTGAACCCTGGTACGCTTGTGTCATCGAGCTGCTGTTTTGTTTACGGCCGTTGCTAGGTGACGGTCACGAAAGCAAGCGCCGAAATGGAAAGACGTCCGCACATCGCGCTCATTCTGCTTTAACTGAAGCTTTTAGTTTTGGACATACAGAAAGCGACTCGCGTCCATCTGCCGCAAACACATTATAAACATTCAGAACATCCCACAGTGTCTGCAGAAGCTGTTTTTGGAGAAGACAAGCAGACGTCACTGTGTATAGCCTGATTTATACTTCTGCGTCAAGTGACCGACGTAACTCGCGGCGCATGCAACGCCCGTAGCTGTGCATTTATACTTCTGCGCGCGGTCTCTGTTGGTCTGCATTAACACTTCCGAAACGCTAGTGGGCAGTGAGGTGTAAATGTTCCTTTGTGTCGAGTTTCTTCTCTGCTGT